TTTTTTCCCTTAACTAGAGTCCACAGCGGTTATGGTAAAAACTTCTAGAAGTAAAATATCTCTAAATAGTAAAGAAACTTACACCATGCCGCGGTCTCCCATTTCATATAAGGTATATACAAAAGCCCATAGAGCGCTAACAGATGTAACAATCCCACCTGCAAACAGAAGTTTCACTGATTACTTTTATTGTTTCTGACTGCTAATAATGATCGATAGAGACAATTAGTGCGTATTGGGGAAGGGGTAATAAACAACTACGTAATTTAATTTCTCGTGCTAAATTATAGGACTTCCGACAGTATCTCTCCGTGCAGTAACTTCGGCAGAAACTGTAATTTTTTAGATACTTGAACAAAAGCAAGAAGCACCGCCTGGCATTAGTATCATGATATATCCATAACTTCGATCTAAACGATCGGTGTGAGTGATGGCGGTGAAGTATTCGCCTCTTTTTCGGTTATGAACAGGATGTGTAATTGTTGTTTTTCTATTTATGTGTTTGTTAACGGTTTTGCGCATCCTTCTATAATATTTCCTTTTTCCTGTTGTGCTCATTTTGCAACGAAATGAATAATAATTTTAATAGAAGCTGAATCATAGAAATCCCATGGCTGCACCGCAAGAATACGCTATTTGCAAGAAAGAAACTTTCGCGCTGGCTAACCTTTAAAGTTATATTATAGGTCCAGCGCCCTAATCAGTAGAGATTTAGAAACATACTTGGTTCTCATTTAGATATGATGATAAGTTGGTTAAAAGCCGTACAGGTGATCATATTTGACGCATGCATACAAATACTGCTATCGTAACCTTTGACGCTACGTTTCGAGCCATCACGTCGCAAATAGATGTGGTCACGTAGTTTCCTTAGACTATGTGCTGTGAAGTCGACGTAAATGTACGTCTTTTCAAATTGCTGGGGTTTTTTTTACTGAAGCCACTACAAACCGAAGCGCTTATTCATTTCGATTAGCGTTACTTCAAATTAACACGACTGACGCGAAAAGTTAACTAAAAACACCAATTGCTTTGTATGTGTGTTTTCCTTCCAGAAAAAAAAAAACATTTTCTCTATTGATCTAGCTGTTCTTGTTGAGATTACCTTGAGTATATTTCTGTAGAGAAGCTCGGAGAGTTTCACGGTGGTGATGCCAGTCGAAGCCCAGAGTTCTTCAGCTTTTTCAAGCGCATCTATCAATAGCCGCTCTACGCGCTCTCCAACCTTTTGAACCTTAATTTGAGGAGTAAAAGGTTGGGACAGTGTCAAATGGAAGTGTGCACTACTAACGGCCGGAATGTATGTAAAGAAATGTATAAAATAATCCCGTTGTTAATATGCGCATCCTTGCGACTTTAAGCCCGCCAATCCTTGTTTCTACATGATGTTTTTAGAAATCAACATGGCGACGTCTACTAGCATGGGAGTATTATGTTTGACCTGAAAGTTATATAAAGTCATAAGGAAGCTTATAGGGCGCCAGTCTTAACGTTGATATAGTTTAATTTGCAGTCATATAATTATCACACTGTTCGGTCACTATAACATGAATGGCCCTACAGTCAGACGCATCATATACCCCTTATTAACACCGTTAGAGCGAGTGGCCATTTATGGCTGTATATTGACACTGATAGTGCCATCTAATGATACAAACAATTTCTTGACACTCGTATTTTTTCCGAAAAAAAAAAACACATTTTTCTAACAGCTGGTAAACTACGATGGGATATCATCCGACCGATGCAGGCATTCTAGCCAACAGATGACAACTCGTAACCTTGTGTACATACACAGGTTAATGATTAGAAGGTTAAAAAAGGGGGAAAACTTTATATATATATATATAACTGTCTTTTTTCATGACGGCTTGAATCATTAATTCGAAACGCTTTAATGCCAAACTCTGCACACCTTACGGCTAAAAGAAGTGTAACATTAATGAACAATACAAGATACGATCCGCTACGGAAGCATAATTAGTATGGGACATCAGCATTTGATATAAGAGATATTCTTCTTTTTTTTTTTTTAAAAAAAACTTTTCTTTTTACCTTCGAAACTTGCTGGCTGATATCCTTGGAAGAGAAAAATGATTAGAAGAAGAAGCTAATGAGAGATACCTCAATGTCGTCGATATCCTGAATTGAAGATTCTCGAGACACGAATATACCGACTTTCCGTTTACACGGCTCCACGCTCAGTTGTCTGTTCGCACTGAAAACAAGCATAACTTCTAAAGTTATTATTCAATAGTGTGATATATAAAAGTAAATGACAAATGTCTCTAAGGCTGGAGCGGGTGTTTCAACTTGGAATCAATAAAGTTTTTCTACAAATAGCCATAGTGGTCAGTTCTCGCAACTATTTTCTAAAATACGTTCGAGTAATTAGAAAAGTTAGCCAGTTGGAATTGTTCCCCAATGAATCAGCTCCTACAACCATGTACATTGCGGAAACTGAACCTGAACACGACATGAAAACTGTGCAGACTGAAAAAACAAGTTATAATGTTTTAGCTAGCCGATTTCTGAAGCGATCAGGGATATTCTGCGGCAACGTTGAGACAGCAAACTGTTTTGAACAACGTCCAAATCCTTCGGATCAATCACTGTGTGATTTATGGCAGTTGCATCTATTTCCATCTTATATATATGGCTTCATTTATTTGAAACAAATACATATGAATATATATATATATATATCATTACGAATGAAACTATCTAAAATCGAAATCTGGGTCATGCAGCTGAATTGTCTATTCCTATTGCTTTTCATTCGTACTTTAACCTGAATAAGCCGTTTGTAAAATAGGGAAACACTTGAACAAGCCGCTCCTGGATTTCCAGCTATGGCGTCTGCTGGGTTTATCGTTGATCGGCCCCTTTCACCACGACAGCGAGAACTGGATGAAGACATGCCTAGGAGCATTTATCAATCTATGTTTTTTAATTTCGCTTATTGACTCAAATAGCTCGCCGTATTATTAAGAATTTTTACTGCTCGATTATTTCGTGGGCTCTACATACAAGAAAGTTATATATAGTCTTATATAGTTTCCAGTGTAGACGATAGAGCATTATTTAAACTAAATGATACGCCGTACAACTCTCAAAGTTTTTGCTGTAAGCGCGTTCGTACATTCTATCCATCTTAACACTAATTGATAGAGTCTTACTATACATACGGTCGTGATTATACCTGTCTAACAGACTGAAACATATCATTTCGAAGTAAGTTGAAGCGATAGTCGTTGAACGCCTGTGTCTGAATAGACAATACAATTATCAATCTCGTTTCTGCTAGACGTCAACGCTAATACCCATATTTTATACATAATAGAATTCGCCCCTCTTCCGCCCCTTACGTAACTAGCAAACAACTGACGATCTAAGTTCAAGTACGTACGATGCGGTTCGATCTATGACATTGAAGAGTCTTTCGGCTGCCACATGGAAGGAAGCTGCTGGTGAAAAAATGCACACAAATCATTTCGGCCTTTAACAATACAATCGATCAGGACATCTCAGATAGTCCGCATTAGGCACTTCAGTGTGATCATTTGGATGCATAACCTGCAAATCTTGCATGCAATGACAATTAATCTTGTCCACTAAAAGCCTCGAAAACTGAAGCTACCAAAGCAAGTTCTTCAGAGTCAAATGTCGGTATTCGGACTCTCCAGGATTCCGGAACAGTCGCGAAATCTCCTCTTAGATCGAGTCGCGCCGTTACCTTTCTGAACATCGATGCTAAAAAAGGTTTTTCAAATGGTGATTTAATTCGTTCGAGGCGTGTGTCCTTCCACCCAATATTCCTATAGTTTTAATGTGTGTTTATCTCGACCTACGAACAGGCCGAAACACCGCTGTTTGAGAACGGGACAGTATCGTTATGTATTCGTACTCGTGGGCAGAAAAAAATAGACAACGTACGTATGTAGGACTAGCTTACGTTATTCAGGCGTTTATGTTTTGAGTTTTACGTCGGGTATCGCCGTCAGGCATCGTTTCATCAGACGCCATTCAAGCGTGTGGTAGACGTACCCTTGATCACTGCATACGGCTACTGAGGTAATCCCATTAAAGTTATAAACGTAACAGCTCAACTAAGAAAAAAAGAGCTAAAGAAAAACGAAATACGTTTTAGATATTATTATAGTATACGATAAACAGGGACTTCGCATAATCTGATTAGCCGCACTCTGTAGCTCTCGGCGTACGTGCGATGTTTCAATAGCGGATGATTGCGAAAATGATATGACAACGCCATTTTTTCATACGTAATAGGCAGATACCCGAAAGTCGACGAAGGGCGATTTCTTAAGACCATCATTCGACGTCAACTGACGCTCGTCTGACCGAAATAAACGTAAAGGCTGCCGTATTCGACGATTATAGTTTGTGAAATTTCGTGGAAAACATTATTTCACAACCAAATTGACGATTTCGCGCCTGTTTTTTGTCCACTTCGCAGAACAGGCATTACTCTACAGGAACAACGGGTATGAACAGTCATCTGTTGTGTGACACCTTTACGTTAATAATATTATTTCTAATTGTGTATTGTTAACGTTAAATAGTTCGTACAGGCGTGCAAATCTACGATGCAACAAGGTACAAAAGCGGAAACTGCATCCGAATAAAAATATTCATAAATTTCAGCAATAGACATAAAGTGACGTTTTAGCAGATGCGTTAAGTGCCACTTCCTTCACCTGACTTAGCTCGTGTGGCCCACTTGACCCAAGAACAATCGCCGCTGCTCCTCGAGCCGCGCTTTTTACGGCTTTCGCTATTTACGCCCAGACCCAGCGACACTTCCCGCCATGCGCGAATCTGTATAGGAGTCGATCTGTGCTCAGCTGAGCACCCTTCATCGATTCTATTCAGTAGAGCTAACGCGAACCGAATACAGAACAACAGCAAAACGTAAACAGTCCCGAACTGTACTTTCCCTAGCTCGTTGTTAGAGCTGCTTTGGAATACGTAATCTTAAACGACTGTATAAATTGTCTACGCTTTCTCCTATGAAGGTCATTACAAACATGATAATGGCCACCCGTTATTTGTTACCCAGCGATGTCACACACGGCAGTGGGTTGGACCGCGTTGGTATAGCGCTGACTGTCAATAATCGATCGAACAAATTCGTTGCCATCGAGCTACACCGAGGTCATGTTGCTTGCCTTCGATAAGTTAGTTCACCACACGCATGTGTGCGAGATACTACGGTCTAAGTGAGATCGGGATTCGACGATGGCAACTTCCATTAACTTGACAAGCCGATTTATTAGATATGGATTGTGGGAAAATTGCAGTGAACCGGTAATGGCCTGGACAGCACCGGTGGCTGGAGCAGAACGCTATTGATTCAATTATACAAATATGGATACATCAATACCGCGAGAAAGACTAACGGTTACCAAAGGTTAAAAAAAAGTAACGCCGGATCACCGATTCACTGTGAAAATCAGCCATTGTGCCATGACATGAGGTACGTCTTTAGCTTGCCATGAATGACTTATTGTTCTATATGCCAGAAATGTCACGCTGAATTCGTTTTTTCATTAAGAAATTCTATTGAAAATTTAATTTCACGGAAAACAAGCGTTCATATATATTGTTGGCACAAATACTAACTTTTCCACGAACCTCCAATCTGCAACCCCTCCCTGTAAACCCTTAACAGGCTTCATAGATGATATTTCTGTATTTATCGAAATAATGATTGCTTGTGTATTCTATTGAAATTGCCCTCTGCTCCATGAGTTACTTGATACTTCATTAGATATAGACACTTCGTTCGTAGGTATTAACAGGACACTTCATCCAGCGATCGTGATCTCATCAATTTTATCTAGATACACTAATCCATACGACAACGCCTATTCTGCGGAATGTTTCGTAACATGCGCTATATGTCTTCACTCTTTGAGCTTCTGTTTGTAAGCTTCAATGCAAATGTGTTGAGACGCTGTCATTGTCTATTAAATTATTTTCGTTCTTTGAGAGTTGCGCATGCTCAGAAGTGAAAAAAATGAGTGCGCGAACTATTTAAAATGTGGAAATCTATCAAAGCAGACGGTAAATCATCATTCCCGTCACAGGGATTGTAAGGAAACAAAAAGTAGAACCAGACACAAATGTATGAAGCTCCATCTGCTGATGAACCGAGATAGCAATTGTTCCTGTGTTACCATATACAGAGTATTCAATCTAGATCTCTCAAGAAAACCATGCGCGATTTATAGCGTGCTCGCACTTTATGTACTGATACTTGATAATAGTTTCTTTAAAAGTAGTCGTCCCATGGCAGGTCAACTGTGAGTAGTACTTATCAATAGTTAGCAGCTGGAGTTCGACCCGCGTGAAGCTATTCTTCAAAGCAATGCTATCGTAAATACTAGGCCCTACGCTGCGACTACATGTTAGGCATGTGTTGTATAATGCCAACAACGCATTTGTTGCTAAATAAAACGCAATACAGTAAAATTAGCATGCTCAAATCAATCCAGTAAGTGGTATTGAACAGGAGTCCTTGTCTTTAGCACTATTCTTATGATTTTTGTTAGACTCTATTGATTATGGTAGAAGTGAGTATAAACAAGGTCGTCAGGCTCGACATAAAGTTTATTGAATACGGGGCAAACGTTAGTTAAAGCTAAGTACGCCTTTTCTATGTATTCTGAACCACCGACTATTACGCTACCTAAATAGTTACACATATAAAATTGCAGGAAACTCTGTAGGTTGTGTGCAAAGTATTGAAATCATATATATATATATATATATATATATATATATATATATATATATATATATACACGTATATATACAATTAAGAACATACGGTCGTGCGGAAAATATCTATATTTCGCTCATTAAACGGCGTGCCTCGTAAATAGGCAGTGTTTTTTCCGTACTTGCAGCGCCCATGCACTACTTTGTACGGCCTACGATGATATAGTTAATGTCGCATGAATCGTCCGGTTAAGCTTGTCCTTGTGTGACGCTGCTACTGTGTCTAGCGTAAAAGTACTTGGAGTAAGCGTTCTTTTTATTAGCCTATACCACTTGTAATAAATGAAAAATATTAAAATTCATTTTGTTATTTACCTGTTACACATCTACCATGTAATGGTAGTTATTTGACTAGATCTGCTGATTGTATTTAGAAATACGTGGGGTGGGGTGGGGTGGGGTGGGCTGGGTTTGAGGCCGAGCGAACACAGCGTTTCGTGCTGGGAGACCTCAGCTGTCTGAAACAAAACCTAGCGGCAGTTTCTAGATAGTTGTTATAGTACGGTCAGTTATGATCAGTCAATAGTTGACAACTTCCTGACGCAATGATACTCATCCTGCTTTCTCTATGTTTGATCGGTAGATCGCGATAGATGATCACGATAGATCTAACGCGGAAATTTATATATTTACTAGACAATGAATTTTCTGTTTGGTAGATTAGTGAGTTGTTTGGCATTAGGATAGCTTAGTATAATAGAAGAACCGCTTATATATACCTTGGGACCTTGTCGGCTGTTCAAACCCAATACTGTTTGAGATGTTTCAGGACGGTTTGTACCGAGCCTCTAGAAACTGCAATCACATAGATGGGAAACCTAGCAAGCCAATATGTGGACTAATCAGTATATCAAAAGTAAAAATCCCTCATGGCTTAAGAACGTAATTACATTTGAAGATGCGTTGCGCGGAGGTATCTTAACAAGTATCTCTCTTCAAAGCGTATTGGTACTATAGAGATCCACAATCCAGTATTTGAGGCGCATAGAACTAAAGTCTGACGAGCTCTGACGATCTTCACTTATGTCGTTTGGTCTCTATCCGAATTCACATTAGAGTCACGTAACGTGTCTTTATCTAACTACAATAGTGGACGTCTGCCTTGCTCTTTTCCCGACTTCAACACTGTCCGGCAATGGTTCAAGCTGAAAAGATGTAAAGTCTGCGGGGTGAGTAACACTCTGTGGTGCTGGCCTGCTCAACAACAGGCCGCAACAGCCGAAACTTATAGACTGATGCAATGAAGTCTGTAGTCCGCCACACCAACATCATTAACTTGTCGTCAGCTTTGGTGATCATAGAAAGCTATCTTTTCAACGCTCTTGTGTACGCGCGGTGAGCAAGCAATGATGAATTGGTGCATTTAGCGTCCCTCATTTTTTGGGTAAATGGATCTAGTAGACGGTTGTCGATCTTAGCTCAGCTGTCGTTGCTAAGCACAGCCATTAACTCCCAGTGCTGAGTCATACCGGTCGACAGAAGCGTTCCAGCTCACGTATATGTAGATATATAGATAGTGAAACATACACGAATGAACAAACACGAAGCTATAGGGAAAACAAACAGATGTGTAGGTAAAACAAGCTATAAGAACAAGTCCTTATCATGTGGCCATCTAGCTGGTTGACAGTAAAGTGCGGATCCTGTTAAACGAATCACGTGACTCGCGCTTTGAAATGAAACCTTGAGGGTTGACAGTCTTTAAAGTTCGCGTGGCATACACAACAATTTCAAGATTTCATTTAAATTTGGCGGCCTTTTTTTAGCTAGGCGGAAGACAAAAACACTGACGTGAAACTCTAAGCCAGATAGTATGGAATATCCTCCACCAGTGGCAACGCGTACGCCTCAACCTTTAGGTTGTAGGACAAGTTCCCTGAGACTGCCTTTACACCGCTTCAACATACTTATTTTTCCCCACCGAAATGTCTCTCAGTGGCCCGCTGTTGCGGTTTTCGATAATTTTGCGGCCAAATTTGGCACTTGGCCACACGAAACAGAACGTATTTATGGAAGTTCCGTCTTGAATGCTGACGGAAGCTTGTCATTTGCAAATGAGTATTTGGCTCGGCTGTCATTTCATTATAATAGTAATAAAGAAAAAAAAACGTTTTTTTTTTTTTAATTTGACATAGAGCTTCAAGCCGTTTTATAACGATCTATCCTGTCAATTCGTTGAGCCCGAAGTTGAAATCAAATAATCCATTGCAAATATTACACATCTGTTGGAGTGCTATTACTTTCAAATATTATAATAAGTTGTTCCCTTTAATGGGTATGCTCTTTTTGCATCGAAATCGTAATAAATTTATTCTTATTCACCAATAAATTTTCAAAATATGCCGTGAGACGTGAGATCAGCCAGAGCATTAATCTAAGCCTTCCTAATTTCCCAAGGGCAGACATAATTTCCACTAACTTGAGAAATCGCAGAATAAAAATTTCAAACGTATCTCAGGGGTTACAAAGCCTTATGTAGAAACTGCTGTCGCTGGTTCAAAAATATATTCCCTTAAAATTCATCAATAAAAATGAAGAGTTTATTGATTATTCTTTTCGTTTAATGTAAGTACTTAATCTTTAAACAGGTAGCCATTGCTTACATAGAAGTTACCGTGCTGCAGCCCTTACCTTCTGGTACACATGTTGTCGCACAGGTCTATTATTACTCCAAGTGAAGATTAATATCAATAACTTGCACGTAACAGCTCACTTGTTGCTTGGTGTACACTCTGTAACCGCCACTGTTGCTAAATAACTGTCGCTTCACATCCACAATAAGCTCACTTCCCTGATCCACTATCAAAAAGCGTTCTCGTTTGTAACGTGGGCTTCTGGCAAGCAGTACCTGACTAGAACCACATTCACCACCACGAGTGCCACCACTCTTTCGAATTCAAATTTGGCGGTCGAAACCACCCCGCCCTCACAGTCGACACAAGCTTGAGGGGCACCTTTTTCGAGCCTGCTTTTTCTTTCTGTACGATATGCGTCGCGTCTTCGCAGACCGATTGACAACGACACTCACAAAAGCGGTATACACAAGACTATCGTCGAAGCGGACTTTTTTCTCTGCAACACGGCTGAGGTTTCAGTGCAATCCTACTCGTTGTGTCTATGCATTTTTAGTTTTCTGCAGCTATGTCCACGTATGTTGGTTACGCAGAAAGACCGACTGAGTGGGGTTCGACCCTTTCCCGTGCAACACGTGATCACACGATGGGAGCGGTAGCAGTAGCGGCAAAGCGTTAGTTGGCATTGCTCCTTGATGTCATTGGCATTGCGGTATTCAGCGCCAGCTCGTTCTATGGACAGCGCCGATTGTTATTGTTGAACCCCCCTAAACCATTGCTTTGTTCCCTCTGCCCTTCTCTTCGTTTCCTTATGTTTACTTCGCTTTCTGGTAATGTTCAGCAAAGATCCTCGGCCTAGCGTAGATCTTCCGTCCCATTCTCACTAGAGATGGCTTCGAGGTTCGCGAGCTTTTGCCCGTCCTGCATCGCATCGCACTGTGCGATGGTCAATCGGCATCGCTACCTGTAACATTCATTTCTTCCCCTGCACACCAGGCAATGAGAAATGTGGGAGAATCGTGCTAACTGCTTCACTGCGATCTGCCGGCCTGGCAATCGCGCGAGCGCACTTGACACACCCTGTCGCGCCCTTGTCGCGCATTGTAGGTTGGCAACTCCGTTGGGCCGAACGGTCGTTTGGATCACGTAATAAAGTCCAAGTAAGAACTTACGCACATGCAGAATCGACATACGTGACTGGACTACGCGGACTGTCAATCAGTAATTACGGCTATTTGTGTCACGCGACATTTTCTTAAGGCGTCCAAGCAGTTAAATGTAGATGTTAGTGTGTGTCGGCGTCATAATTCGATTTAATTAAACGTATTATAACTTGGTAATTCCGCGGAACGTTTTAGTAAGCTAATAACGGTAGATGCCGCTCTGTGTCTTATACATCGTTAAAAAGCACGGAAATGTAGGCCACGACGTACGTCCAACTTAAAACTGGTTCGTATCACATATTCGCATCGAAGTTATGCTAGAGGTGTGTGTAAAAATGGTATAACACGAACCAAATCAAAGCTATGGAGAGCTTGATTTATTTGGCATCCCATAAGTAATTTGTCTGGAAACGAATTGTTATGAGAAATCGAGTGAAACACGGGCCTTAATAGGCTTGTTTTTTTAGGAATCATTTTTTAAACCTCAAATCTAATAGCCCAATTGTACTGTTTGGCAATGTCGTCAACTTTCTTAACAAAAAGTTTAGGTGAACTTTTTCTCTCTCATGTGAATGAGTGCTACTGTATCTGCATGGTTATAGCTCTGTTACTGCGTCGGATACTGGGTCCAGGTATATATGCCTCAAAATATTATTATACTTCACCTCCCACAACGATTAGAGGTGCCAGGCCATCAGGTAGTTGTTAAACAGTCAATTGAAAGGGTTCTTTAGGGTAACAATTTTTCGAAGGTTTGGTAAAAAAAAAATTGGGAGAGTAATTTGCCACTGATAATTGCTAGAAAAGCTACGCAAACGTTTAGCTACAGACTGAAGGATAGCTTTCCACTGACTTTCGATACAAGAAAGAAGTAGCTTGCTTTCTTTGTCGATTCAGTGGCGGTAGGGGGGTCACCCGCAAGTCTCCAATCGTCATCGCTCGTAAGGGAAATTCTTCCTCTAAATAGGGTGGAAATTTGTTCCGCGGACTTGCTCGTACGGTGAAACGTGGATAATCGTGTGCGCGTATAAATCTAAACGTATTAAGTTAATGATCTCGCCACTTTATCACTTAACTTTGTAACACAGTAGTTACAATTGGTAACGAATACGAAAGCAAGAGCGTACGCCAGTTTCAAGTTATTTAACAGTCAATGGTTGGCCATTAAGAAAGAGTTGCGTGAAAGGTGTTCTTCAGGTTTGAAAGTGTATTCGATGTAATGATCTGAACCAGATTATGGTGCCTACCCGTATTTGGGTTTCGAGTGTGTAGTCATAACTGTCGAGCATCAGCGGGCCGAGCCCGTGTGTAAATACGAATGAGACAAACCAAATCAATGCTATTACTTGCTAGCAATCCTATTCATTCGTCTACATAAGGTTTGTTCGGGTCTATATCTCGCTTGGAAAATACCAATTAGCCATTCAACTGAGCCTAATATAAATGACAAACAGTATCAACAGCGATAAGTTATCTGTACTAGCCTGTTAGGAACGTCAGTAATACAAAAAGAGTAAGTTCTGTCCATATACGGTAAGAAAATACCTGTAGATTACTACCAGCTTTTGACTTGTCTTATATAGATTTACTAAAATTATTACTTATAAGCTAATATGTGCTTCTATACGTTAGAGCATCCTTTAAACTTCCTTGATGATACGAAGCGATATCAGATCCTATGATTCAGGCATTATGGCAAAAAGCATTTTCAGAAATTGATTCGGGATCTTCCCGTCTCTTGAATGACTTCTCTAGTCAACTTTTTTTTGAACTTGATCGTTACGGCTGATGTGTTGCTCTAGACAGATATGACCTCACACGTTCTACTAAGAATAATATTATTCAACACAAAGTCAAATAGTTTTTTTAATTAATTAATTAATAGTGCGTAGAAAATCGACTTCCGCCTTTATCAGCTTTTTCTTTTTTACATGATTACGTGAAAACGCTCGCTATCATGTAAATTTGTGGTTTGTCCGTGTGTTTTTGCCTAAGCAACTTTCCTATTCGTATCTGAAAACAGGCAAGATACGCGGATCGACCCAACCGAAAGTGCCGGCTCTTGTTTTCGGTATTGTAGGATCAGCTCAGGTAAGTAGGCTCGACCAATTTCCCTTCAATGACCCTGGAACAAAGTTTACGCGTCAGCCTCGGCTCTAGACCCTGGTCGTTGTCCTCAAGCTTCGGTTAGAGAAATGTTGAGCGTCGGCCCCAATAATCGTACGTAAGTTAATGGCCATTGGCCGGCAGTTAAATGCATGCAGAATGTGCCGAATTTCAGAAGAACCTTCGCTTAGCGATTTGTTGTTCATAGGCGTCCATTATTAGATGTAGTCGCATCGCTGCCTCCTTGACAGAAAACCAAATGTTCAGATCAGGTTCACCATAGTAATAAATAGAACTTCTGCAAGTTCTTTAAGCCGGTAAATGAAGCATTTCTATTCTCATCTCGAAACACAATTCGAGTGACAGTCTATAATTAGTTGTGTGATAGATATGAGCCGCTGAATCCTTCCAGTTGCAAATCATCGGGTCCACTACTGAAATATTTAGGCCATCTGTAAAGTTCCAGGACCTGCAATTTAATGCCAAACATGTTCAATGTTAAATCAAGATACCTTTAGCCTAGCTGATGATGTCGATATACGACATTGTAACGACGCAAACATTTCTATAAATTATCAATAAAGTTACCCATTAGTACTTAATGCTATATAAATATATTAGTACAATGACTACTTTAGAATGAAAGCATTTACATGGAAATCGTCATATATTATATTTCACTAGAGACACACTAACTACTACTGTTAACTACGAAATATTAAACTTATTCAAGTTTAAAACTTTATGAGAGAAAAAAAAGCTATGTGCTAGACTTAGTGGTCATTGTTGTCTACGTAGTAGAGGTACATTTCAGAAAAATTAACCGGACAAAAGCAGTGTACTGTAGTTTTTACTAAGTAATTTTGTTATCGATTATTTGCTTGCGAGAATCAACGATAAAACATCTACGTCACGAGCGTCGAAGCGGTCGAACTCACTCAGTAGCTTTTCTCGCTTTCTTGTCCGACGTCATTTTCTGGACTGGTCCCTCTCTAATGGGCAGCACGGTCTGACCCATTTCTCGTCTACGGTAAAATTTAGTTTGATCCAGTTTTGCTAAAAGCAACTTTTCGTTCCCTTTTCTAAAACAAGCCTCGGTATCATTGCTGGACGGACCTGTCAATGCGGACATGTCAACGGACTTGATACGGGCCGGATGAAAACGCCGAGCTAGAGAAGTGATTACGAGATATATTCTCTTTCCTATCGCAATTCGAATTGTTATTGAAAGATCTACATGTGTCTACCTACGCTCAAATTTAGAACTAGACCGCCTTTGCTGTTTGCAGGCAAACATGTAATCACTGCACGATCGCACGGACAAACGGTGGGCTTTGGGCGGGTTTTATACTAGCAGTTGTACGAAGGCTCGCACAGCCATTGCCAATAGCTAGAATCAGAAATGGCACAAGAAGTTAAACTCAATAAATTCTATTTGTTTCTGTTACGATCTGCTGTTTTTGAGGAAACATATTATCAGAGATATTATCAAGTCACCAGTGTGTCCGTTTCCGGTGCAATGGTAGACGCTTTTAGAATAACTACGCTTAGTTTAAGTGCTTCCATCCAGTAACTTGTTATTAATGTGCGGAGTGAGCCCTGCCTGCCAAGTTGGCCGCACACGATGCAGAGGATGCATATCTTCAATACAACACAGTTTGTTTGAGTTTATTGTCTGTTTGGTATCCATTTATATCTAACGTTGCAATAATCAAAGGTTTGATGACTCAGCAGCCACTCAAGTGGCTGCCTAAATCAAGGCGGATGATCATTGGACATATACGAAGATATCTTACACGTGTATCGGAGTGCCCTCGAATCTCGGTTCCGTCCTGAATTCAGTGGCAATTCCGATTGGATTACGTAAACAAGTGACAGCGAACTGTAAAAAGGAAAACAATATCTGTAATAGGACTAGTTGAAGTATGTCTAATTCTTGCGATCGATTCCTAAGTTGAGGTTGGTTGAAATGATCACCATCCGCAATGGCAGTAGCAATGATAACTAGTGAACGAAACTAAGCGCCGCAACCTTTACTGACAGCAAAAGATGAACAATAATGGGATATAGTGTCTGAAGTTTACAGCGGGTTTTGAGATAAGGCCTAAGGGCAGAAAATAGGCATATTCGACAGAAGTAATATGTATTTTCGTTGAACACATTAAAGAGCTTGCTTTAAAGCGATGGGCTCACGCGATACGTCTTTACGCAATACGAATGACGGATGAATAGCGCAAAGTTATGCGCCTCACACAAATAGCCGTAGAAGAA